AATGATTCTACCGAAAATTCGCGGGTTTTTGGCGTAGAATTGCATACCATTCTCGTTACTCCGTAGGGAGAATGTAAAAATCGATAAACAAGATTAAGTGCCAAGAATAATATTTTCCGCTGCGTAGCTGTTTCTATACAATCTGGGATTATAGGTCTACTACTGTCCTACAAAAACGAACATAGTATTTATTTAAGACTAACTTGAGTGTAACAGGTACATGTATGTAGTTCTATTCGACACCTACTATAGCTTCTGAGTCAATGACCCCCATTTCGAGCAGGTTTTAAGTCCAGTTTTCCGTGATTCAATGAGAAAATTCTGAGATGGCCTCTTGTTTTGCTTCTGGACAAAAATATAGTTTCACTATGCAAACGATTTGTTGAGCTCTCCTTTTGCCGGCAGTGGTAGGAGTAGAGCCGAGGGCTGTTGGTAATTATTTTGTTAGCGATAGAGGTAAAGGTAGAGGTAAACTCTAGAAGTAACGATTTTAAATACCAGTTTAGTAACTCTTTTTGCTGTCATAGGTCTTTGGTTCAATTGGGAATGACAGCTGATGTGTAACAAAGGTGTTCGTGTTTTCTCAGTTCTAAAGTCTTTGGAAGGTAAGTCTTTGGCTTTTAATTACAGTTTGATTTTGCGTTGACCGATTATAATTCCTAACAAATCAAATACAATATTGTGGCGTCATACGGGTGTAATCGAACGTAGACGAGAGTGGTTTGTAAACCAGTAGATTTATTAACAATCTAGACGGTAGTCTCAATTTAACAACTACCCTGCTCACAATAAACTAAATAAATAGACCCACTACAAGGAGAGATAATTTAAGAACGGATACCACACCGCAACATACCACCGATTTTCCCTGTATGAAGCCGCTCTACTTTGAGACCATCTACGCGTCTCGCAAGTCACGACAATGAATTGCCGGCCCCTCGCCCTAGTGCACCTACACGCACAGACACTCTCATCACCTGTCGCCGTCGCCGCTAGTACAAGAAGACTGGGGCATTGTTCTCCTGGCCTTCTATAGGCCCTTTTGGCTCTACCCGCCGCCCCCATTGCCTCCTCCCCAAAACCGCTCTGGGCCCGCTACATCCACGGAAAGTCCCAGTGCGTCATCACTCCGGCCTTTGTTTAACATCCGGCGGTGCTCGCCGATTTCCACAAGGTTGCCTGTTTTGAGCGTGGCCCGACGCTACAATATGTTTCAAATATTGTTTTTATGATTGCAATCTGTATTTTGTAACGTAACAAAGACCGGTTTTGGTTTGTAGAATTTTAATATAGCGATGGTGGTAAGATGAGCCCTAAACTATGGTAGGTATATGACCCTCAAACTTTAAGGGGCTCATATTACTACACTACAACTTGTATTCGTACAATTTTTGTTTTAGATGCCACGAAAGATCCTAGACCCAAAACAAAAAGGAAAAACTGGAATACTGAAGACATGCTTAAAGCAAGGCAGTTAAGAAATTTTTGGATTTGGATTGTATTTGAGACATGCTTCCATAACGTTTCTCGTACAAAGACATACTCTTCAAAGGCATGCTCGTGTTGACAAACCTTCGGAAAAAGCAGTTTTAACAAAATTAGGAAGAAAACCTATATTTGGGGATGAGCTGCGAAAACAGTTGAGTGCTTGCTTTTTATTGAAAGTTAATTCTACGGTCTCACCAGAAAAGATCACCACCAGGGAAGCGTATCAACTTCGTGAAAGAAATGGAATTAAACACCTGCTCACACAAGATGCATTAGCCGTTAGGGATTGGTTCCACCATTTTATGAATCGCCACAATCATGTTTTCACTTCAAAGGCACACCTTATCATTATCACATCATCTTCTTACAAAGAGACTCTAATGGTGAATGAAAAAAAATGCCTGGAGATACAAAACAAAATTCACACTATAACGCTATGACAGTATTGATGTCGGTTGTGTCGATACCACTTTCCTCTATATCTGGCCATAACTTACTTAATGGCACTGTGTCGTATGGCTTTTGTAGGTCAACAAATACGAACTAGATATCCGTTCCCCATCCTACTTACTTTTCTATGATATTCGTTAATGTAATCACCGTCGATGCATGACCGTCCTATCCTGAAGACATTCTGCTCCTCCGTTTTTGAGAATTGATATTCAATTCTACATTTTAGTACTCTATCGTGAAGTCTTGCTACCGAACACAATACACTTATCCCTCGATAGTTGTTGCAGTCTCGCCTGTTTCCTTTCTTATAGATTGGAGTTAATGATGCCTTCTTCCACTCTCTTTGAGGCTCACTTTGCTGAAGTCGCTTAAAAATGCCTGCATGTATTTCCACCACACTATTAGGTGCTACTTTTACCAGTTGTAGGTTGATGTTTCCTGGCACAGGAACCTTCCTATTCATTAAGAGAGACAAAGCTAATCTTATTAATCTGTAACAACAGGCGCTATAGGTATTTCTAGGGATTGTGGATCTTTTTGTTGGTAGTCATGCATAAATTGTGTTCTATCTTCTACTAAAAACCTTTATAATAATTACTCCATACTCACTTTCTAATTGGTATTATTAATATGTCATTCTCATTCCTTTTATTGTTTTTCAGCCTGCATTAAACTTCGAGTTCCCGAAACTCCTCTCCGCTTCTTCACAAGTCTGTTCCCAATATTCATTCTCGGCTTTACTAATTTCTCTTTTTTTCTAGAACTTTTAAATTACTTTTGTTTCGAATTTTTCCTGCATTGAAAGAATAACCACATTTCCTTATTGTGACGTTTGATTTTCCATGTTGTTTTTACGTAGAAATTACATACACTGTACAATTGAATAGGTGTACTTTAAATTATCTTCTCATGAAACTACTTTTTTTTCTTATGTCGGCACCAAGATTGAATTTACAAATTCAGATTTTACCGTCCGTGAAAGGGTAGGTAGTAGTGTTTATCAGGGTAAAAAAATTCAAATATTTTTTCTTCTTCTCCTTCTTCTTGTCATTATTATTATTGTTATTATTATTATTATTATTTTATGTATGAAGAAACCTTTTTTTTTCTCGGCACTTCACCTTCATGATAAATCAGGTGTCGTCGATTCTTTGGTCTTCCTGGATCAGCACAAAACACAAGCACAAGCACAAAACATCAGAAACATTTCAGATGCATAGTTTCCTCGAAACGTGAACTGAAATATTTGTAATAATTAATGAGTTTAAATGTGGCTTTGAGAGCCATGCGACTCATCTCAAGAAATGAACATTCAAATCCCGAACGCGAGTCGTGGCGCATCTGGGGCCGCACGGCTGGCACATGCTATGGAGTCTACAGACAATACACGAAGTTCCTCAACATTCTTGTGGAAAAAGTCCAAATACTTTTATATTTAATTACGGAAATAAACTTATTAATCGAAGAAAATGAAATGAATACAATACTATTTAATAAGATGTGTTGAAACGTATCAAACTTATAGAGTCTTACTATTGTCTTTTTCTTCGCACTATTTATTAGTGCTCGTATTTATTTTCAAAAATGCGCTGATGGCATATATCGAAATCAAAAAATCTTAATTCCTTGCTTGCTTCCTGTTCCTTTGATTTTACAACAATAATTTCAAGTCTCCGGTTAGGAGCGCAAGTTCAGCGGCTTCCATTAGCGCGAGCTGATTAGATACGTGCACACGTAGTCCCGGAGAAAATTTGAGTAGGATTTAGATTCTATTTAAAATCAGTACGTACGTTATAGTATGTATAAAAGAATAGGGATAATTTTGGTGGACATTTGGGCAGTGAGCCTTGCAGGATGCCATCATCTTTTCAGAAATTTATTAGTGCGCCAATTACATTTCAATACTTCCATTTTCTGCTTGTCTAGTGCGTATTGTTCAAAATTGAGGATTCCTCATGAAATTTCATGTCATATCTATAACAATTGACAAAAAAGTGAAAGTGAGATCTAAAAATGTAAAGAATTTTTTAGCGTCGTTGCCAGTCGAAATAATTTTATAATATAATATTTCGCATTTGTTTGATACCTACATCTAGTAAATATAGAAAAATCTTTAAAACCTTTCATGGCGTACAATTTGTTGATGTTTAAATGGTGTTTACTATTAAACAGCCGTGCGTATGCCTAGATGGGTCAGTATTTCTAGTTCATCGCCACACGTTTGGATGTTTGTAGATGGTCTGAATTTCATGTCCAGTTTCAAAAAATCCATTTCATTTTCTTTCACAAAATACCCTAATTCATTTGTCAACAAGTCGAAATCAGTGAAATATCTGTATACTACTTACACACAAGCGGGTAGTAAAAATAAAAGTAATTTCATATTATCAGTGAAATACGTTTCCAGTCACATGATGAAATAGCTCTATCAATACTTTTGTCAACCGTTTGTTATTGAATACATTGCATCACTTTAAACGAAGTGTATAAAAACACTACATGGCTTGAACTGTATTTTAAACAAATAATAGATTTTAAGAAATAATCCCATATCCGTCTGTTTATTCAAACAAATGCAGGCAGTTGTATATTTTAGCCTGGGTCAGTGTACAGAATATTTTAATGCATTTCTCGTCCAATTTAATATTATTTTGTGGGTATTTAATTTGTTGCAGTTATGGCTCAAACTGAAAAGAAATAAACCAGACAGACTGAATTATGATTTTATACCTTACATCAGTTGTTTGAATTAAAATTGTTAAAAAATGGGTGGAATGCAATACGTTCTAGTCGAAGCGATACACATCTACTTTAGAACATCATCTTATTCCTTAAAATATTTTTCTGCAAATAATATTCATATGTAGAAATTAAAATCGTAGAATTATTCAAACCAGATGGGAATATGCGGAACTTACTGGCACTTCACTTTGTGATTTTGATGAATATCGTTTATGCAGATGAGTCAAAAGCGCGAAAAGAGAAAGAGTATAAAATGACACACTCTTGTTACCGGTAATGGGAATTCAAGTAAATAAATGATTATATGTTGATTAAAAATGAAGGAGAAGAAGAAGAAGAAGAAGAAGAAGAAGAAGAAAGAGAAAAAGGAAAGGGAGAATAAAAGGAGAAAACTAGCTCGTATACTTAATTTATCTCTTTCTGTATCTCACCTTTAATAAAATACTTTCACTTATTTTTTTACTCTTGCCATGTATGACATGCCAGCCCGTTATGTTTACGGTTACTTTGAGGACATGAATAACCATTCTTACTTCAATTAATAAATAGTACTTTATCATCTAACATGTAACAGAAATCGTTTTAGAGAACACAACTGAGCTGTGAGCTTTAAGTAGCCAAGCGAACTGAACTCGGGCGCCATTCCGCGTTTTACGAGTTGCTAAGTTATATAAGGAATCCGTTTGATTAAATTACTCGACGAGGGCGTGAGAGTTCTCATTTAATTCCGCAATCGCCCTTCCGAGCGAAATGGACTATCCTGGATGGGTACTTTAATTGGCGAGACCGCTGAAACTGAAACGGTAATAATCCCCACAACGCGTATCGATTGCTCTTGTTTACGTGCAGCCTAGTTCACACCGGAGCGATATATTTGCTATCGCGTGTATTATGCCGAGTGCGAATATCAGCGAACATCGGCATTTGTCTCCCGCACATGCCAGGGCCAAGTGCGGAGGGTCGCCACATCGATCGCTGGCTCCGAAGTCAGCCGCGTGCCCATTGGCGCGAGGGGGAGCGTTTCGGAACGGAGGGGCAAAGGGCGAAGGACGGGCGGGGGCCGGGGGCGGGGGCGGGCGGGGGGGCCGCGGCCGCTGCGTTGCCGAGGAGCGCCGGCGCGCCAAGTGCGAAAGTGGAGTGCGAGCCAGTGAAGCGGCGGCCGGCTGCGTGGCCGCGCTCGCGAATGAAGCATCAGCCTCGCCCGGCGGCGGGCCCGGGGGCCGGCCCCGGCGGCGCCGACGCGAGGGAGGGGACGAGCGCGCCAGCGGCCCGACTGCGACGGCAGAACGCGCTCACATGCGGGCCTGATCCTGCGGCAACGGCTCGCCGGGGTTCGCCGGCGCCTGCCTCCAAGCACTCCCACGCCGTCAACGGGCTGTCCGGCTCTCCCACACACGTGTCTGGATCTGCGGCGGCGGCCTTCTTCGCAAGGTGAGAGCCCGTCGCCCGGGCCGCTTCGAGGTCCAGGGCGAGCCGCGTCTGTTTTCCTCTTGTCGAGAAGACGTACGCACGAGGTGTATCGATTACCTCTCTCGCATTAAGCAGCCTATTCGTATGATTTCTCTGAAGAAATGTGTACTTCTTGGTTTGTGTAAAAGCATCCTCCATTAATGTTCTAGAATATAAGTCATGGCGTTTTATTTAAAAATAATAATATTTCAAATAATTACCTTTATTCTGCTAATGACATCTCGAAACGGAATACTTACTGACATCGTATTTATTACCGAAATATTTATGTTTGAGAGACCAACTGAATGATGAATTTTCAATTCCATTTTAAGTTTTTATTCTAGCCCAAATGCTCAAACATCCTTTTCAACAAATCACTAGTATTGGCTTGAGTATTGTCAATGATACTTCTACAGAGTTTTAGAGCTTGATTATTAAAATTGGTGTATTCAATGGCATATCGTCAATTTCAATTGTTTGACAAATAATTAATGATCACATGATAGATCCTTGACACGACATGGTGCGACTGTCTTGCGTATGGCAATAAATTAAATGAAATTAAAAAAGTCTGAGAATTGTAGGTAGATTACCGTAAGATGAAATTGTAGATCTCAATAAAAGCGTGTTGATTTAAACTCGAATCTGAATTCTAGATGGCGCTGAAGTATATTCATAATGCGATATCAGAACTACAAAATAATCATTAAAATACATTTTCTAAGACTGTATTGAATTTTACTGTTTCTATTTTCTGACACAAGTTATTTCCCAACGACAGATAACGATGTGCAAATATGACCAGTAGAATCCTCAGCATCATTATTGTGGAACAGGTGTAAAATAGATTCTTGCTAGACTAAATCATGTAAATAAACTTTGCATGTAAATAGCATGTATATAGCTCGACAAGTCTTTCGATTTAGTTTTTAGAAAGGAAGTTGTTTGCTTTAACCGGAAACCAACCAAAGAAAAAATAATAAATAACATTTATCCACTTTAATAAAAATATACTTTCTAAATTATTTCGTAATATAAGCGAAGTATGACATTCCATCAGTTGATATTAACAGTTGTCTTGTAAGAGTAAAGAAAGAGACACTGCATAAAGTACTTGTTGTAATTTTATTGTATCGCCAGAAAATACTGTATACTCAAATTTACGTTTGTTCGGTATTTTAAAAGGTAAAAATCTTAATATAATTTTTTTGTCATCTATGTGGCTCGTGGTACATCAAAATAAACGATACTGAATACACAAAGTGCTTTAATACGATGACTGGCTCAGCGTATATATCCGTAATTGAAACACAGTTGCTAGAACTGTGGCAGGTTTTCGAAACAGCTGAGCAGCAGCGGCGCTGAGTGGACGAGAAGGCCAGAGGCCGACTGCCGCGATCGGTCGTTTCCGGGTTTCCCTCGGGGCTCCCACGCGATCCTTCCATCCCCATTCACATCCCTCGCTCGCCTGCTCCCCTCCGCCCTCACTCCCGCTCCCGATGCCTCCCTCGCCGGCGCCCACGCCCTCACCCCCGTCCCCGGCCCTACGGGGGATGAGCTCTCGATTCAGAGGTCCTCGCCAGACATGCGAGTGCGGGAGGCGCGCTAGGTGACGCACGCGGGCGACTTCAAGGCGCAGCGCCGGTGGGGCTGAAAAGGGAAAGGAGCACCTCGGCGCGGGGGGGGGGTGCGTTCAAATGCAATCAAAATACTTCAGAAAACTATAAACTCCTTCTAAATTCATATTTACAGAGAAAATCAATTAATCAAAATATTTGACTAAGTTTGCTTTAACTAGCTCTCAATTAATAACGGAACTTTTTTACTTATTTATTCATTAAGGTGTTATTTAATGTCAAAACAGTTAAAAAGTGTGTATGCCGTAGGGAGAGTACTTTCGAACTGACCTGCCGATCTGCGGTGCAAACGGATCTAAGGACAAGTTTTTCTGTTTAATGTTTAAGACGTTTTTGCATTATAACAGTAGTAGCAAAAAATAATAAATGATGATCATGTAAATTATTGAGTAAATTAATCGTGAAATATTGTTCTCATTAAGTAATGTAATCCATTCAAATCTGCGTATAGGAAACTGTCAATGCCTCATCATCTTCGAATGACAGCCTAAAACGTACGAGAAGTTTTGTAAAATACACTATTTTAAATTCTCTCAGAATTAATCTTCTATATGCTATTCTAAGCATCAGAGAGTAGTTCCAAACGTTTGTAAAATGGTTTCGGAGGGATTTTGAATCTTAAATTGTAGCAGTTCCAATTCTTGGAACAAATATTAGTAAGGCACCCTTTAAAATCAATTTCCTCTTTATGAACTTTACAAACGGCAACACTTATGTCAAGCTGCTTAAGACAACTCACGCGAAGGTAAAGGATCAGCATATATGCCTTCAACAGAATTCCTATCCGCGGCTCTTTGGACAGGTGCAAGATTATGTTTAGGGTCTCAGATCTGCGGATTTATATATATATATATAATATTAAGAACATTAGGATATTATTATATTTTGTAATAAACAATACAGCTATTTATCATATTTATTAAACAATCTGCATTTGGTCAAACTAAATTATAGCATTCATTGCTAATTCACCGTCATCATTATTATACTTTGCTTTTTGTACTATCCACTTTTCAGCACCCAATTCACCTACTTGGTCAGCATTGTACGCCATGTTATTCGTTTCACATACCTATACCATTTATATTAATGTTTTGTTCCATTCGTCTGTTAGACTCCATCAAACTGCTTTTAATAATTACACCAAATTCCGGCACAAAAGAACTACCTTTCAAATTTTTCATTTAAGAATTACCTTTAAACAGCAAATAAATACAGAATATTTTAAATTGCTCCCCATTCTTCACTTTAAAATTTGTGATACATAATTGATATTTCAAGAAATCAAAAAAAAGTACTTAATTTTGTGGGTTTATTTCAAATAATTTCAAATGCTATATTAAAGAATTTTGTGGACAATATTGTTTGCCAGGTTTATATTACTACATTTGAAATATTATTTTTGACTTTTTAATACTTTTTTTATTTTCTATTTATTATTACATATCCTCAATTTATTTATCTTTTTTAATTTTAAGAAAAACATTTTTCTTAATTTCTTGTTTTCTATTCTTTAATTCATAACTCTGCAGGTATTATGCACAATTATATCATATGACCAACAATTTTCCCATCCCATTCATTGCGTGTCTTGCTATTAATATGAGATTTGCCGTATAACTTCAGTGGTGGGAAACTAAAACGCCTCAGCCCCACCTGCTGGAAGGTTCAATTGAACACCGATTCACTATAGTTATGAATTAATGATGAACCCCCATTGACGCCCAAAAACGCATGCAAACAAATTGTATATGTAATATTGTCGTTTATTGCTGCATATTCTTATCAAATTTATTCAGTAAATTGCCAGGAAATAAACGAATTGCACAATAGAAGCGTCTACACCCCTAGAATTACACAATAGAATTTACGTTTGCGGAACATATTTCCGAGCGTAAACGTGTCCAAAGAGGTGACAATCATATACAATAGAATATGTAAGTCTAATGTAAATGCGAGAAAAATTATCGGGAAAGGTTCTTGAGACGTAACAAATCATATCCTCCAAATATTTATATAATTACCTACCATTGATACGACTTGTCCTTTTGTATTTGTGTATTTTTGAATTCACCTATAAAAATCTCAAAGATGTCATGATTGGCCCATCGTCATTTGGTGCGATAGACTGTGAATGGATGGACAACTGAAAGGCGATTTTCAGTTCGAGGTCCAGACCACGCTCCTCTCCGCCTGGGCAGAAGCATGGGCGCTGCTCTTGGGGCGCCGGGGCGGGGGCGGGGGCGCGCTTGCACGTGCCCTTGCGGCAACGTCGTTGGCTGCACACGGGCCGTCCGCTTGCGTCCCAGGCGAATGCTCAGTCACTCGGTTTATGCCAACTGGACGACGCTGCCAGACGCTTTGGAAGCATGTAGAATAGACAAATTCAAGTTATGACTCATGCATTTTGTTGTGAAGAAGGACGATTGTAGATAAATGAAGGATTGAAAGACTACGTCGTCATGAAACTAATAGATATTCAACAAAAGTTGCTGTCATGTTTAAGCTTCTAGGCTGCTGGTTGAAAACTGGAACAAAATGCTACTAGCATTGTTGGAACTGTGAATACATAAAGAACAGGTATGCCAAGAGGCTTAAAGAACGTCAAATAAATCGTCACCATCGCACTAAAATGGAATAACATGATTATTTCTTAGATCAAGTTACAAACTTTTTATAATTGATTGAGCACTTCGGTTTTGAGCACTTTTTATTTAGAGGTGCAGTTAGGAACTGAGAGAAAGAAAACGTCAGACGCCACGGTGTCGTTCTATATTGAAACTACGAATAAATGTGCTGTTGGTGAACTCGAATAGATGGTTAGAAAATTCACTGTAAAAGCTAAAACGAACATTTTGAAACATTTTCAAGTATGTCGGAGCTTCGTGTTATAATGTGTTTTGTACAAATAATGGCACGTAAGAAAATTAGCAAGGGTGTTTATCTGCTAAATCTCGCCAAAGAATTCCCATACAAAATCGAAATTCCGATACAAAAAATCACTCTTCTTGTAAAAAAGTTCCAAGTTAGTTTGATGACGAGTATAGTATGTCTGTTCAATCTGATTATGGTTGTTCAAACTATCGTTCACTCACGTTTTACAAACTAGAAGTAATCAAAAAATGTATTTCTGTAAATGTTTATTTATTATATGTTCAGTATTTATAAGTAGAAATTTCAATATTGTGCAAAAATATTTAACAAAAACGTTTTTCAGGGTAGTTGAATGTGAAAATATTGTCACACATGTAACTGCCGGTCTACCTAATGCACTTAATTTAGAAGATAAAAAATTAAAGTGGGAATCACAAACTCACATAATCCTTTCTCAACAAAAATCCA